TGAAACATTCAACGGAGGTGCTTTTTAGAAGACGCCGCTAGCGACAACAATTTACTTTTTAATGTTTTTCGTACATGTACTAGTATATTTAAAGTCTTTCCGTATATTGCCACATGGTGGCGCTATATTCACATCGCTTGATTTGAAGCACTTGATAAACTTCTTACAGAAGAGTTCAACAAGGTCCCCCCCCTTTAAAGTGGTTGGGTACCATTAAAACTTGTCGCAGGATTTTCCTGACTTTTATCATATGCTTTTATTTTTCTGTGAAGTGATTTGATTTTTGAATTGTTATGAAGGATATGTGACAGCATTAGCTGGTGGTAATAATAACAAAATAGACTAAGAATTATCTGAGATATGTTACGAGGTCTCTTTTCTATTATATCACTCAGAATAGTAGTAATCAGCAAGAGAATATCTGAAGTTCACAAAGTTGTATTTATATTAAGGGGCATGTGATCAGTCTGTACGCAATAAGTCAATAAATAACCAATTATGATGATGCTGATAAATTGGTTTTATTCATGATATGAGGCCATCGGACCGAAAAAGGCAACGCGTTGAATGATTTGTGACAATATTTCATTTTTCAGCTCACAAATACTTCAAGATATGATATTTAATATTCTCGGGACTTGGTCGACTCTATATTAAAAATAACTAAATAAATTAATAAAAATCTTCATAGCCTCGGTGTGCACATTTTGTATCTATAAATAACGTGATTACAATATTTGTCAAAATTTGTCCGAAATTGTCGAATGAATGATTTTGGAACGGAACCACTTTGTCATTCTTACCGTCATATCACACAAGAGAACAGCTAGATTCTTCTTCGCAAGATACCCATGCAGATCAGGGTGATTATGAACAAATAACGGCACCCTTTACCTCGCAATATACACATGTCAACGAGGGTGACAGTAAACAAATAAAGGCAGCGTTTACATTGCAATATACCTATGTCAACAAGGGTGCCAGTAAACAAATAAAGGCAGCGTTTACATCGAAATATACCAATGTCAGCGAGGGTGACAGTAAACAAATAAAAGCAGCGTTTACATCGAAATATACACATGTCATGGACGGTGACAGTAAACAAATAAAGGCAGCGTTTACATCGAAATATACACATGTCAACGAGGGTGAGAGTAAACAAATAAAGGCAGCGTTTACATCGCAATATACACATGTCAACAAGGGTGACAGTAAACAAATAAAGGCAGCGTTTACATCGAAATATACACATGTCAACGAGGGTGACAGTAAACAAATAAAGGCAGCGTTTACATTGCAATATACCTATGTCAACAAGGGTGACAGTAAACAAATAAAGGCAGCGTTTACATCGAAATATACCAATGTCAACGAAGGGTGACAGTAAACAAATAAAGGCAGCGTTTACATCGAAATATACACATGTCATGGAGGGTGACAGTAAACAAATAAAGGCAGCGTTTACATCGCAATATACACATGTCAACAAGGGTGACAGTAAACAAATAAAGGCAGCGTTTACATCGAAATATACACATGTCAGCGAGGGTGACAGTAAACAAATAAAGGCAGCGTTTACATCGAAATATACACATGTCAACAAGGGTGACAGTAAACAAATAAAGGCAGCGTTTACATCGAAATATACACATGTCAACGAGAGTGACAGTAAACAAATAAAGGCAGCGTTTACATTGCAAAATACCTATGTCAACAAGGGTGACAGTAAACAAATAGAGGCAGCGTTTACATCGAAATATACCAATGTCAACGAGGGTGACAGTAAACAAATAAAGGCAGCATTTACATCGAAATATACACATGTCAACAAGGGTGACAGTAAACAAATAAAGGCAGCGTTTACATCGAAATATACACATGTCAACAAGGGTGACAGTAAACAAATAAAGGCAGCATTTACATCGAAATATACACATGTCAACAAGGATGACAGTAAACAAATAAAGGCAGCGTTTACATCGAAATATACACATGTCAAAGAGGGTGACAGTAAACAAATAACGGCACCCCTTACATCGAATTATACCCATGTCATAGAGAGTGACAGTAAACAAATAACGGCACCTTTTACATCGCAATATACCCATGTCATGGAGGGTGACAGTAAACACATAACGGCACCCTTTACATCGCAATATACCCATGTCATGGAGGGTGACAGTAAACAAATAAAGGCACCCTTTACATCGCAATATACCCATGTCATGGAGAGTGACAGTAAACAAATAACGGCACCCTTTACATCGCAATATACCCATGTCATGGAGGGTGACAGTAAACACATAATGGCACTCTTTACATCGCAATATACCCATGTCATGGAGAGTGGCAGTAAACAAATAAAGGCACCCTTTACATCGCAATATACCCATGTCATAGAGGGTGACAGTAAACAAATAAAGGCACCCTTTACATCGCAATATACCCATGTCATGGAGGGTGACAGTAAACACATAACGGCACCCTTTACATCGCAATATACCCATGTCATGGAGGGTACAGTATACAAATAAAGGCAGCGTTTACATCGAAATATAGCAATGTCAACAAGGGTGACAGTAGACAAATAAAGGCAGCGTTTACATCGCAATATACCCATGTCAACGAAGGTACAAGGGTAAACAAATAAAGGCAGCGTTTACATCGCAATATACCCATGTCAACGAGAGTACAAGGGTAAACAAATAAAGGCAGCGTTTACATCGCAATATACCCATGTCAACGTGGGTACAAGGGTAAACAAATAAAGGCAGCGTTTACATCGCAATATACCCATGTCAACGAGGGTACAAGGGTAAACAAATAAAGGCAGCGTTTACATCGAAATATACACATGTCAACAAGGGTGACAGTAAACAAATTAAGGCAGCGTTTACATCGAAATATACACATGTCAACAAGGGTGTCAGTAAACAAATAAAGGCAGCGTTTACATCGAAATATACACACGTCAACAAGGGTGACAGTAAACAAATAAAGGCAGCGTTTACATCGCAATATACATATGTCAACAAGGGTGACAGTAAACAAATAAAGGCAGCGTTTACATCGAAATATACCAATGTCAACGAGGGTGACAGTAAACAAATAAAGGCAGCGTTTACATCGCAATATACATATGTCAACAAGGGTGACAGTAAACAAATAAAGGCAGCGTTTACATCGAAATATACCAATGTCAACGAGGGTGACAGTAAACAAATAAAGGCAGCGTTTACATCGCAATATACATATGTCAACAAGGGTGACAGTAAACAAATAATAGCAGCGTTTACATCGAAATATACCAATGTCAACGAGGGTGACAGTAAACAAATAAAGGCAGCGTTTACATCGAAATATACCCATGTCAACGAGGGTGACAGTAAACAAATAAAGGCAGCGTTTACATCGCAATATACATATGTCAACAAGGGTGACAGTAAACAAATAAAGGCAGCGTTTACATCGAAATATACCCATGTCAACAAGGGTGACAGTAAACAAATAAAGGCACCCTATTCATCGAAATATACCTATGTCATGGAGGGTGACAGTAAACAAATAACGGCACCCTTTACATCGCAATATACCCATGCCATGGAGGGTGACAGTAAACAAATAAAGGCAGCGTTTACATCGAAATATACCCATGTCAACAAGGGTGACAGTAAACAAATAAAGGCACCCTATTCATCGAAATATACCTATGTCATGGAGGGTGACAGTAAACAAATAACGGCACCCTTTACATCGCAATATACCCATGCCATGGAGGATGACAGTAAACAAATAACGGCACCCTTTACATCGCAATATACCCATGTCATGGAGAGTGACAGTAAACAAATAACGGCACCCTTTACATCGCAATATACCCATGCCATGGAGGATGACAGTAAACAAATAACGGCACCCTTTACATCGCAATATACCCATCCCGTGGAGCTTTTGCTAGGCAATTTCTTCGGTTATTGGAAGGTACGTGGCGCTCAAAACTCGTACTTGTGATTTTTATTGGAAAGGCGCATTGGATGGAGTGTGGGGTAAATGAACGTTTATCAATACAAATGCCACACATGCGTGTCTCGACGACCACCGCCCTTTAATAATGCTGTTGCCGATTAGTCCTGTTGTCAAAATATTGTTAATTTGAGTCATAATATTTTATAGACCAAAATGGTCCTTTAGTTCGACCACTCAAACCACAAACATTATGTTTCCCGTTTCTGTTTTGTTGCCATTGTCCACTCCATGAAAATCTATATTATTATGTAATGTGTAATTTTATCATTATTAAGCAAAAAATGGGAATTCAAATCTGCAGCATCGCTAAAGCCGGTCATTCATAACCGGCCTACGAACGTTGAGGATAAGGGCGAATAAATGGTTCTTGGCTGGCGAAGATGAATCTGCAGTATCACGCCAACATCACGCTTCTTTATGGAAGTGAAGTTTTAAATGATTTGGACACTGGGTGGCGCTGCACACATTTAGGTCTTGATTTTTTTTGTCAAGTTATCGATGAGCAGTCTGTTGGATACTCAAGCGAGAACTAGAGTTTTGTCTATGGTTCCGAATACATGTAGGAGGATCGCGAAGGAATACGTTTTTCAGTTTATGACCTTCAATTGAAATATGTACTAATGGAAAGTAAGTATTTAAATAATTACGATTGCAAAATTAGAATATTATTAACGTTTTCTCTCTATTTGTTGCATGTACATTCTATAACATGCATTTGAAGGTGATGTACGAGTATATGCCCGTTACTATTGCATCTAATCATTAAATTCCAAAAGTTAGCACTCATGCAGCGCCGCCACATGTAAGAATGGCGTTTCACTTCCAACGCTAGAGGGCTTCAGTCCCTGGATGGACAAAACTACCCCGCATGCTGGGCGAGATTCATAACACGGGAAGCGGGCTTCTTGTACAGACCAACAGCTGCAATACTCACAGACGACGACGTATCCACTGCTGTAGGTACACCTATAATAATGGCTCTGAAAACCATCTTAAACGTCTCCTACGTAGAGCCGTTGATCGGTCTCTACCCTAAACAGTCGTTATTACAGCCTATGTGGGATGTCATTCTTAGATTTGTCAGCAGCGATGTTTTACAGTCTCCTCTTCTTCCTATCATCTTCTCGGTATCTTTTTACTTCATCTGCTGCTTTCCATTTATGATTGTCGACATCTATGGCAAAAAATGGTACTGGATTCAGAAGTACAAAATCCAGCCAACGAAAGAAGTAACCTGGTCACAAGTCTATGACACTTTGTACGTGACAATGTGGAACCATCTGTTTTTGATATTGCCAATGACTATCGTCCAAGCTTTCGTCACACCACTAACTGTAATACCAGAAAATGCGCCGGGCATGTGGGAATTCTGCTGGCAGATTACACTTTTTATGCTTATTTTTGACCTCGAATATTACGTATGGCATTATGTTCATCACAGAAACCGTTTTCTGTACAATCATTTTCACGCGCTTCACCATCGTTACTACTCGCCGTTTTCCTGGGTGACCCAGTACCTACATCCATGGGAACTTCTTAGCGTCGGTGTGTTCGTTACTACCACACCTTGGGTCATCGCCGACTGCCACCCTCTAACAGCCTGGGGGTTCATGGTCACTAATATCATAGTTAGTATTGAAGCTCACATCGGATTTGACTTCCCATGGTCTCTGCATCATTGGTGTCCGTTCGGTCTGTGGGGAGGCGCTCCTAAACACGATATGCATCACCAAAGACCACAGAGCAACTATCAGCCGTTCTTCACCCACTTCGACCGTCTGTTCGGCACCAGCACTTCATTCCGGTATGCTGGCGGCGTGATCGAAAACAAGAAGAAAATAATCTAGTTTAAATGAACTTCATGGAATATATTGACTTATAAATTTGCTTGGGACAAAACCTCGGACTGACTCGACTACATGTTATCGCCAACACGTTGATAATTCAAGTTGCTAGCTATCTGAAGATTATGGAGACATAGTAGTACGTTTCTAGAAATAATTACCATACAGTGCTTGATGGCGTTGCAAATTATATGCTAGTATATGTGTAATAGGGTTCCCGTTTGACACCAGAACTGAGCGGGACTGGGTTTATATCACAGAAAAATATAAATCCAAGGTTTTGTCCAATGTTTTTAAGGATTACATACAATTTTTAATCTGACAGGTTATTTTTACAGTTCAATAATTATAATATTTCCTGAGTATTATCTCAATATGCAAATATGGGATGCAGCACATTACGCAAATATAATCAACGGAGCTTTACTTATTCAATGCTACGGGCGTAACACGTGTCAGACCACGTGATTCAACAGGTAAAATAAGCTGACCAATCACTGACACTTGTCGTTTATTTGGGCGGGTCCCAATATAATTCAAACCTTGTGATCACGTTTGTAATCCTTTGCCTTTCTTTTCTTTTCTTGTAATTGTAATTCTGCGTTTTACGTTGTGAAATAGTGAGTGTATTACAACTCCCAGAAAATCTATTAGCATGTTGTAGAAACAACCATACTTGTTAAACTGTTGAATATTATTGTTAATTAGTGAGGTTGATGGACGAATCAACATTTTCATTGGTATACGTATTTACTAAAATTGCAGACTTACCCACAAGTACCTCAAATCAAACGAATGTTTAGTGATTTGTACCAATGAACACTAGTTGAAACGATATCTTCTCTGATACCTGCAGTAGTGGGATTCAGCTTTATTAAAATGTCTGATGATGAGTCAGTAGACGGATAGTCTGAAAATACATGTGCATATTGCAGGTTACCTACCATCTTGGACGTCACACTACTATTGTAATGTAAAAGTTGATGAAGTAATGTAGCGCTAAGTGTTTAAACTGGCTTTGAAGGGCATTGCAAAATAAATCATTAAGCCGTGTTGGTGAACATTAACTCAAGTGTACATTAGCATTTACTTTATTTAATTTACCAGCCCATTACACTTCTACAATACACACATGTTACATACAGCTTACCGTGGTTTATTTATTGTATACAATGCCTCTACCCTCATACAAACATATACAAAAGTACGCATAGATTTAAAGCGCGGCAGTCGTCGCGCTGCGCTTGTTCGACATTTTCGAACAATCCAATGCGCTCTTCAAATGGAAATCACAAGTATGAGGTTTGACCTGGGCGCCACTTGCACTGATTACTGCCGGTGACTCCTTCGATACCTTCCAATCACATGAAAACTACCTAATTAAAGCTTGGAAACATGTCAGTTCGTACTCGTTGATCTGCGCAACAGTCAAAGTCGCCAGCTTTGTTTATATGAGACCTATATATCGCGACGACTGCCGCACTTTAAGTGACATTTTGTATTTACCGTATATGATGCCAGTTATACACCTAATATCAACCCGACACATGCTTGATATTACTTCACATTAATAAATAACATAATATCTAATGACCGGGATGTAGATTACAAATGACCTGTAAATGCAACAAGATATGTCATTGTCGTACACATGTGCATATGATTCAGGCTTTTGTACAGTAGTGAAGAAATTGGAACGATATTACCCTCAGGTAAATCATGGTGCATGAAGTCTACGAACTTTCGGACGATTCCATAAAAGTTAAACAAACTTCTACTGGGTTAAATCAATTTAGAACAGGAGTATGTAAAACATAACCATCGACTAATAAAACCGGACATGTTTCATTTGATGACGCCTATGCTCATTAAACTTCCGCTCTGGTGTCAATACACTTCTACAAGCCTATAGGTCAACACACTTGTACAGTTTGTTCACCCTTACATCTTTTGGTTTGTGAGTTCGTAAAGTGTCGATTACACAAGCGAAGGATAATCACTCATCATAAATGGCACATTTATTACACACAATTGCTTGATTGCATGATAATATTTAAATTTGCAGGCCGGGTAGTTGAACAACTTGCTATATTACCCTAAAACCCAGAACAACAGTACGATTATTCCACTGTTGAAGAAGACATGGAAAGTGTACACGCAATCAACACCCGCGGTGAATATCACTAAATGACAGCAGAATCAATTTAAAAAAAAAGAAAAACGTCTCAAGCAAAAATGATAACATATAATTCTCAGTTAATTCAGCAACACAGCATATTTCTGTGGTGCTTGAAGTCGATAATCATTCAGACAAAGTTCAACAAACTTGTGATGGACTAAACAAATTTGTTTAAGGATATATGAAAAAAAACATGACCATCTTTAAAATCGCAGAATAGATTATTACAGCCGACCGTGTTTTTATGATGATGCTTCATCAACAAACCTATAAAGTTAAACTATATTTTTTTACATTAAAACATATATTAACACGTGGTGTGAATTATGCAAAACAGTTACAAATAATGATACAAGCAGTTATCACACTTAAAATGGAAATATTCAAATTGTATTCAAATATATGTCAATAAACATTTGAACCATATGTTCTAAAATAGTAATGTGTACCGACGCAAATACGTGCCAAATCTACCTGACATAGTCACAACTTAAAAGTCAAGAAGATTGCCCATCACCTGTATAATTATTTGCTTTAGCATGTAAACAATTGATGCGTTATATATCGTATCATTCTGGTACATCTCGGTCAGTAAAATAAAGCCCTGCATTCAAGACAATATACATCTTTAAAGGTTGTGAGTTTCACGATAATTTGTGATTCTGTCGAATGAGCAGACTGGGAGCTAAAGGATATTAGACAACTAGTCCATATTGATGAAATTAAAAAATGATGATCTCAAAGAATTGATTGCAGAAGAATCAGCGTTATGTGTGTTTCATTAACTAACACATTTATTTAGAAAGATTAAAATGATTGCTGGAAATAATGTTGCTGTCTTTCCACAGACCCCGAAGTCGTTCTGTTGTTCCGGGTAGTCTTGTAAGCTGCACAGCTATCTTGGCAGTAATTATGAGAAGTGTCTATCCTTTGCATGTGTCATCGAAATCAATAAGAGTCCCCAAACTAACATACTCAAATCTGTAGGGTGAACAAACTGCACAAGTGTGTTGACCGCTAAGTTTGGGACTCGGAGTCTGAACTTTGCTTTGCAGTTATTATCATAGGGAGGTTATTCATTCTTATTATTACTCTGACATTTATATCTACAGGTAAGATAGTTTAGATATTACCCTCAGACCCGGGAGAGAATGACTATGTCTTCGTGAAAAAAAGGCTCTTTTTAAAAAATAAAAACAGTTTTCAACAAATATTAAATCAATTTAATTTAATAAAAGTGTTAATTTAATACACACAATATTGGTACTACAAGGATCATAAAAAAAGAAAATTGATATTAAACATTTATCTGAATGTTTGAGATCATTTAGTAAACAAGATCACCAAAAAACAAGATGTACTAGTTGTTTAATGTCCTTTAATCCCCAAATCCTTTAACAGAATCACAAACTGGACATAAATATGATATGAATAGCATATAATAAAACAATTATAACGAGTTTTGTAAAACTCATAAATGTATATTTGTCTTGAATGCAGGGATTTATTTAAATGACCGAGATGTACCAGAATGATACGATATATAACGCATCAAAAAGTAAATAATTATACAGGTGATGGAAAATCTACTTGACTTTTAAGTTATGACTATGTCAGATAGATTTGGCACGTATTTGCGTCGGTACACATTACTAATTTAGAATATATGGTTCAAAAGTTTATTGACACATTTCAAGACAATTTGAAAATTTACATTTCTATACATCATATCACGTATAGCTCTATTTGTGATTAATTAATATGCAAATCTCTCATCAAATGTTAATGCAAATTTTGCTAAGTAAGTAAACAAAGTCAATTTGTAAAAGTTTGTTAAACTCAAAGCAGAGTTTCGGAAGTGTATTGACCTTAAACATCATCAGAAGAAACGTCCTAATATCGACGAATTTCCCAAAATGAGTTTATAAGTTATCAAAGAACCACCTCAGTGTAGCCACTAATGAAGGATGGTTGCAGTAAAGTGGACGTACTGGACATGTATTTGCCAGTATTGAAATTTAGGTCATATAAATACTGAGCCGAAATGTCGGCCGGACATTTGCTTACACAGCACGACTGGATCATATGGAGATTTCCAAATAAATCATCTGTTCATAAACCAAAACAATAGTTGATGCAGTTTAAAATTCATCCCTTTTTAACTATTCAATGAAAAACTCTTAAAGAATAAGCGAATCACTTATTTTTCATTATTTTCGGTTTAAATTAAACCAAAGTTCGTTGACATTCGTACTCATTGAAGTTCACATTTTACCACCCACTTAGTATTGAGATATTTTTGTAAGCACTAAAATAAAAGTTTCTAAAAATTATATTCCATATTTTTCATCATGAGAATTGACTGGATACTATCAGCCCATATAAATAATATAATACTTTTTAAACAATAGAGACGAGCAAAAAAGCAGTATTACTACCATTAGCGTAGATTAGTAGCTTTTCTGACTACTATTTGTCAATTGTTTTCTTTGCATTATAATACTAATAACAAGTATTTATTTATATGTAATAAATTATTGATATTAAAGCAAAGTTTCTCAATGTGGACATAGTTTTCGAATATTTAAAAATGTTTGCTATTCAGCGGCCATTTTTTCAACAACAAAAAAAGACCACTGGCAGATCATGGCAAGGTTCGTGGTACCAATATTTCGAGAATAGAAATGATGAGTTGCCAAGCGACGCCAATTGCATATGTGCATGTTCCTGGTGATGATGGTGCGATGCTGTCAATGTACGCAGGAGTTTTTACATATCTATTGAAACCATCGCAACTATTATGAGTAGACTAATGATAAACACG